AAAGAAGAGTAAAAAATCAACATTAAAAAAATGTAACAATCCAAGTAATAAATACTCGATTTTATAAATCATTAAATTGATTTACAATTAACAGACCGAAATAGTAAATCATTATAAAAATTTTCAAAAGCTTATCTAAAAATTTGAAATATAAGGAGTGTTAGTATATTTTTTAATAAATAAATAATATTATTATTAAATAAAAATAGCAAAGGAAATAAGTTTTAATTAGTAATATATTGTAAATATTTTTTACATTTCTATACATATTTTATAGTATTTTTTTATAAACTTATTGATTTTTAATAAGTTTTAATTATTAATATATTGTAAATATTTTTTGTATTTTTATACAATATATATATATATATTAATTTTTTTTACAAAATATGAGGGGGGCCCACGGCCCCCCCCTGGGCCCCATGTGGCTCCGTCATTGATTGAAATCATCTCCTATGATGAGTTGAGCTATTTATTATTGGAACTTACAGCTCGTTGGCTCTTGACACGATTTAGGTGGTTCATTTTACGGCTGATGGACAAAGCAAAAGCTGGTTTTATCCTTTCAGTGGTGTGACTGAGGAGCTTAAAGCATTTCTTTCTGATATATCACAGGCGACCGTTAAGGTAGTTCATGATTAGAAATGACCAAACTAGCTTTCTCCTTCTTTGTTTCCACCTTGAGATTAGCTACTCTGTCTGAGAGCAGGGAAATGGTGTTTATAATTGAGTAGGCTAATTAGGTTAAGAGTAATTACGAAGATTAATAAATAAATAAAATTAAGAAACACCCGTTAGCTCTGTAATAATTATATAGACCCTTGAAGTTTGTTTCTGTAAACTATTTTTGCTTTGTTTCATATCTCACTTCTTACTTTGCCTTCCGTTTTTTACTTCTTAAACATGAATTTGTACAAATAACATACCTAAACTTATTCTCTTAAACATGAATCTCTTTTACAACCGAGGGTCCACAATTATTAATATGTAACCACTAATGGTAGATCTAATATATAGAATTTGTCTAGACTGTAATATCCTTTGGATCTGTTACATGTCAGAAATATTTTATATCCTTCATTTCTTTTGGCTTCTTTGGCAGAATGATGGCAGCTTCCAAGTTGAGCCTCGGCTTGCTTTTCTTGAAGGTGCTCGAGATGTTGCTGTTCTGGCTGCAATTCTCGAATCTGGAGAGAAGCAAGGTGTACCAGTACAAGTAAAAAAGATATAGCGTCACATTTTCAGGTTACTATCCCTATATAGCAACAGAGATTATTGTTTTCGACCAAAGAACAATTGCCGAAGTTTATTTGTGAATAAGTTTACTGCGAGAATCTTTCACCTAAGTTAATATTGTCTAGGTGATCGGTATCATCCTTTGGGATAGAATGATTGTAAACAATAAACAGTTCTGAATACTGTAAGTTTCTTACTATGCCTTAATGCAATAATAAGTTCTTTGTAGAAGATAAAGAAATTTGGCAAGTGGCTGGGAGAAAATGACGTGGATTATCAACCAATCACACCTAAAAACAGCTTTTTCTTTTGCCCCTTCGTTATTTTTTGTGAAGTGTAATTGGGGAGTGACGTTTTAAAACTTAATAAACATGAATAAATGGGGAAGTATAACAATAGGCAGGCAATTTAGATAGGGCGTTACTATTCACCGCCCCCCCTTTTACTACTCACCGCCCTCCTTGGACAATTTTGCCCTTCTCATTTTTTCTAAACATATCAGACAATTTATGAAAAAATACGTGTCTGGCCGCCGGTTCCGGACAGCTTAAAGCCCGTCCGGAACCGGCGTCCGGACGGCTTAAAGACCGTCCGGAACCGGCGTCCGGACGGTTCAAAGACCGTCCGGAAAGCATGGCCGGTCGGACCGGCCGTGTCCGGACAGGCCGGCCGGACGGCAAGAAAGCCGTTCGGAACCGACGGCCGGTCGGAACCGGTCCGTCCGGTTCGGCCGGCCGGCCGGCAATTTTTTTTTTTATTTTTTATTTATTATGTTATTATTCGAAATAATTATGTTATAAATTGGGCTATATTATTATGTTTTAAATTATTATGTTACTTTTTAGACTTGATTATGATATAAATTGGACGTTTATCGTGTTAGGAGTTACAAATTATTATGTTACATGTTGATTATAATATAAATTGGACGTTTATCGTGTTAGGAGTTACAAATTATTATGTTACATGTTTATTATAATATAAATTGGACGTTTAGATATTATCGTGTTACGAGTTAGAAATTATTACATTATATATTAGTTTTAGTTATGTTATAAATTGACGTTAGATAGTATCGTGTTAAGAGTTACAAGTTATTGTGTTACATGTTTATTATAATATAAATTGGACGTTAGATATTATCGTGATCGTGTTATGAGTTACAAATTATATTAATTGAACGTTAGATAATATCATGTTACGAGTTACAAATTATTATGTTACATCGTAGAATTAATTATCTTAATTTAACATGTTCTAAAAATAAAAATATTGTACTATATAGCAGGAGTCATGGGAAG